TATCTATCTATCTATCTATCTATCTGATCACGAATACAAGCGGCCAAAATGGGTTTCCTTTGCAGGGTGGCTAGGCACACCCTTCGAGATCGGGTGAGGAGCTCAGATTCCATCATGGCAGCACATGACAGCAGTGGCCTTATACTGCTCTCGACAATTCCACAAAATATGCCTTTTAGAACGCTTCAAACCAGGCATCGATCCTGCATCTACGAATGCCAATGCCTGCTGGAGCTATAGTCACCAAATTTTCGTTAAAACACAGCCACTCTTGACCGTTTAAAAAGCTGCGGAGTGCTGAGAATGGATGAAAACAAAGCATCGGGCTCACTGAGCAGGCCAGGCCAAGGGGAAGGCCAGAGGAAGCGATGTGCTAGGCAACGTAAGTGGGGCAGTAGAGGCGGGTTAATGGCGAAGCTAAGAAGGAATTACCACAGAACACTGATCCCATCAGTCCTGCTCTCCAACGTCTGTTCACTGTATAACAAATGGATAATCTCCGACTCAAACTGTCTTCAAAAAAAGAGGCCTTCAAGACTCTATACAAGGCCACTTCTGAGCTTCAATCTGCACACACAGAAGGCGTTTTCATCATTGCTGTGGATTTTAACCAGGCTAACTTGAAGACTGTGCTCCCTAATTTTTACCAACATGTGGGTCAAAACGTTTTAGATTTAGCCTACTATAACATCAAAGATGCATTCAGAGCAGCTCCCTGAAGCCACCTCAGGTCATCAGATTAACCATCTGTCAGGCTAATACCTGCATACAGGCCCTAGCTAATCTTGGCTAAACCAACAGTTAAGAACTCAGAGTGTGGTCTGAGGGGGCCATGGAGAAACCCCATGTTTTTTTTTTTTAATGGTCTGACTGGAAAATGTTCAACCGGCGAAGCAGAACCACAGTCAGAAGATCCAGGATCTCTTCCATGATGCCAGCAAAACCCAAAATGGGCTAAACAACTTCTTTGGAAGGTTTGAGGCACTAAACAGCACTCCGGCAGGGAAAAAGCTGTTCCACATCAGGGAGAGGAGGCACTCAACTTTGACATAGCTGAAGTGAGGAAAACTCTGAGGAGAGTCATCCAAGAAAGGCCCCTAGGCCTCGATAACATACCTGGGTGGGTGTACAAGGAGTGTGCAGGTCAGCTGTCTGGTGTCTTCACAGACAGTTCTAAAGCCCTGCTTCGGCACAGCTGCATTTCATTGATAGCTGATTAAGAGGATTTTGCTGAACTGCAATTATCAGAATCAGCTTTGCTCAGAACGTGAGAATAGGGTACCAAGCAGTCACCACTGTTTTTTTGTTAGCTTGCTTTACACAACAGTAAAAACATGAAATGATCAAAAATTATACTGGAAATCCAATAGTTGGAAACTCTTTCTTTGCAGCAGTTTTTATAGGACAGTAAATATTCTGATTCACCAAAGTTCAAAGACTGGACACTGGTCCTCGTTGACCAAAATTAATAC